AAAAGATAACTGTGAGCTAACATTTAAAATAAGAAATAGTCACATGCAACTGCAAGATATAGCTACATTGCGATATATATATTATTTTCACTCTGAGTTGGAAACATACGTCCATAATTCTCAGTAAACAACGTACTAAAACGCTAAAGAAACCCCAAAAGCTAATCTAACGACTTGAGCTTCAAACACATGATTGAAAGCATGAATGCTATGACATGTCATGATAGGAGGAGGACAAACTAAGAATCACTGAACATAAGATGAAAGCATCTGGCAAGGTCAAATGGCACTATTACTGCCTCACTAGCCAATGACAGCACCTGAAGAAAAGTGCAAGCAAAGGTATAATCACATCCAATAGCATGCGAAATTATGAATAAATAGCAAAAAGGAATCCAATGTTCTGTAACATTAGATTTTAAAAATATCTTAAAAATCTTTTGAAATGTTTACTCACATCCATTTTTGAGAATGTCTATAAGCATAAAAGCTACATCTTCACCAATGCCAGACGCTTCTAGCTGACACTATCAGCCGTAAATAACAGGCAATTTCTTCTGCTACAGTTAATGCCGCATTGGTGAGCTTGTCATAATCACCAGTCTTGTGGCGGGAACGAGTTGAGAAACCTACTCTTGTGAATCTTGCAGATTAATAGGACCTGCTGCATGAACATACACAAAAACTGTTATAAAAAATGTGCCCTCTTCTTATGCACTAAAAACCACAAGCCAAGTTATGCCCAAAGCACATTGCTTGTACCATTCAGAGTATTTTGTATTCAAATTCCATTGTAGCATTCTTAATTTATGTTGCTTATGAAATAGCATCTGCTAAAATTGATAATGCGATGCAAATAACAAATGTAAAGCTGTTATTGTCTCAGTGTACAACTTATTGAGAAGATTGTGGAAATTAAAATGAATAAAACGAGCACTGGTATGTGGATCGAGCATTTAACAATGCAACTAATACAGGTAAATGACCAAGCAGTCAAATGTGATGTTTATGACATCAGATAATTTGGTATCTGTATGTAAACCAAAAGTACCACATAAAAGTACATGACGTAAAAGCAGATACACACCTATGGTCACAGGTTAGCAGCACTAAAGGCCACATTAGAAAGAAAATAAATCTCTGTAATACCCTCTGAAATTTTTACATTATATTATTTGATTTATTAGCCTGTAACTATAATGGTTCAAAGTTTGTGGTCAGTAAGATTTTTAAAAAATATATACTTTTATTCAGTAGATGCTTTAAACTGCTCAAAAGTGACAGTAAAGACATTTTATAATGTTCAAAGACTTATCAAATGCTGTTCTTTTGAACTTTCTAATTTTTCAAAGAACCCTGAAAAAACTGAAAGACAGTTTTCAGAAAAATACTAAAGCACCAGTTTTCAACAATGATGATAATAAGAAATGTGTCTTGTGAGCAATGAGAGACTTTTAAAATTAAAACATTTAAAATTATTGCCGACTCCAAACTTCTGACAGAGCCTATAGTGTATATCATTTTCCATCTCAGCCATTTGTAAGGATGAAAGTGTCTGAATGAAGTGTCTGATGGTCTACGACAGACCTGACAGCATGTACAAAGCCAAAGGCTAAGAAAGCATTAATCCTCATTAGATCTGACTTCACAGGCAATTACCGTACTGCAATACCGTAGCATCTGTAGCTCCAGCCTATTTGGATAAGTTGTTGTCATGTGTTAATACTGACACATATGCGAGGTAAACCTGAGGCCATAAGTCCCAGTGATCCTGTGTTTCCCTGGAAACCTCTAGAAGTCTCATGACTGCATTTGACTCAACCATAAGCATCCTTTTCTATTTTTGGATGCGAGTGCACACAATTGTATACACAGCACATAAGACAAAAGGTCCCAGGAAAACCCACATCTACATGCGAGTCGACTATCAGCCCCTCAATATGACGCCCATATTCCTGCACATCAATCGAAATTAAAAATGACATGTTCTTGTAATGAGCTGCTAAAAACATCAACATTTGGGAAAGACATTGGATGTTTTCCACGAAACTTTTAATTTAAAAAGCCAAAACTCACCATTGAGCCGTTTGGATGCTTCTGAGAAGATGGTTGGTTGATAGATCGTCCATAGACCTTCTGATAGACACTATCTTTCCCTCTGAAGGCTTGTGAATATGACTGTGGTGGTGATCAGGGCTTCCCAGCACTGCCCGTGCTGGAGGTGCTGCTCCCGTCTCCAACATCCCTCACAGTGGCAGAACTTCCATTCAGATTGGTAAGACTGGACTGGCTGTCTATGGAGCTCCTGGAACCAGCTCCATTCCTCTCATCATCCAACATGAGGACGATCTCCTTGAGCTCCACATTCTCTCTCATCACAGTCCTCCTGGTTGCTCTCTAGGTCTTTCAGTTTTTGCTGGAAATGCCAACCTCCTTCCACATAACACTGGCAGTGTACCTGCCAAATCTCTGCCATTCCCTGGACAGCTTCTTCCCTTTCTGTCGATCATCATCCAAGAAACAGCACAGTTCTCTGAGCTCCTGGTTGTCTTCTTGTAGTTTCTGGTTTATCTCCTTCAAGTTCCGTATTTCGTGAAGATGCACTTGTAATCTGCGGTTGACGTCCTTCATCATGTTACCGTGCTCCACCATCAAGTTTATCTTTTCACTATCCACTTTTCGGAGTCTCAAAGCAGCTCCTCTTTGCTACATTTAATCAGTTCTTCATCGGATACCTTACTTAAATCATCCCTAGGAACGTCTATAATATTTTTTGCCATATTCCTGTCGTTAAAAGTGGTAATCTGGTCAGGATATTCTAATCATTCCTTCGCCAAAACGTAGCGAGCAATTAAACTCATAATTAAAATTAATCCAGTAATTCGAGATAAAACGAACGCAGATATAAAAAAATTAAAAAAAAAAAAAAAACTCACGTAACTGACCCAGAGAAGTAAACACTAAGTCGTGTTTCATATAAATTCCTTTTATGTCGTTATTTCATATTTGTTCGAGCTGGAATATTCTCCTTCTGACAGTGATGAGGCTCCCCGGCCGCGAGACAGTTGAATGGTGAGAAAATGCGCTTCAGCTCAGATCAGCGTTCGGTGACGTCAGCGCCGTACGCGGCGCGCGCGCTGCACTGCATGCTAATGTTAATGTCCTACAGGGGGCGCTTGACTTCTCAGAAAGTCGAACTGTTTTGAGCTGCATTCAAATATCACGTTTTTGTCTTACTACAATACATAGGCCTACATGTATTGGTTAATATGCATAAATTAAATGTATTTTTTTTTAATGTATCAAATATAGAGATAATGGAAAGCGAACTCGAAACTGCAATTATAGATGAAGACTGTATTAAATGTGATTTTGTGTAGAAAGAAAGAAAGAAAGAAAGAAAGAAAGAAAGAAAGAAAGAATTTTATTAAATTTTATTTTTTATTTATTTATCACAGACTAATTCCCTTGCTCTATTAATATATATATATATATATATATATATATATATATATATATATATATATATATATATATATATATATATATATATATATACGAAAGTGATTGTTTTTCTTCTTGTTAAAATGCTTAATTCAAAACATGAATAATGTAATTTGATCAATTTGATAGAATTTTACTATTAATTGAAATGAGTAAATCTAGATAAAAGGCTTAATATTTTTTTAAGTGTACTCGCTAATTCATCCAGCAGGGATTCAGAATTGAGTTTCATGATATTATGATTCCTGATTTAATTCTAATTATCTGAAAATTAGGGGCCCCTGGCCCCCCGACACATACAATAGGCCTACAGGCCTGTTATTACCTCGGCTACTGTTTTAGATGTAATCTGTGTAAAAACATTTTACAGTTTTTAAGCCATAATTTATCATGCAGTTTAGACATTTACTGACAGGCTTTACCATGATTCCTAATGGAAACACTTTACATCATTTAGATAAAGAGTTTAAAAAAAGCTTAGAAGAAATGCTCTACTTCCCAATGTCAGCAACACATTAAGCAAACCAACAATGTGGCATTTATAGCATTACAAAATGCCTGATTACACCACTTGATGTGTGAATGACAAATGATAGGGCTAAACACAAGCAAAAGAGTGGTAGGCATGTTTCAGCCAATAGGGAATCAGTACAATTCTGTTCCCAAAAGAAGTTCATCAGCCACCAAGCTTTCTGTGAGCATTCAGACGGGGCTTAAATTTCTGACCTATAATGAAACAATGAAGAATTATTGCAGAAACATTCCAGTGGATGTTAAAGTCTAGAGCAACATTGGTAAATTGCCTATTCATATGTTAATTCATTATGTAATGTGAATGAATGAACAAAAACATTTCAATATCAAACGATCCCCCTTAATAGGCGTGGGTATTCGAATAGGACTCTTCTTAGGGTTGGGGTGTGAACACACTGCCATCTAGTGACTAAAATGACTCAACGTTGCTCATCGGATGAACATGACTACAAGGAAAAAATAATAAGCTGGAATAACTTAATATCTGCTGTGTGAGCTTAAACAGCTAGAATGGCTTGAACTGACCCAGAGATTGCGAAGAGTTTGCAGAAAACTTTAAAAACAAAACAAAAACAACGTTGCAATAAATAGACTGTGGACCTTTCTATATTCTTTAGAAATGGGAATACTAGCTTATATAGGCCTCCGATTCTCTCCATCACCCAAATAAGCATGCTGCACATTAACAGCCATTCGAAAGTATGCAGCTATACTTGATGCTATTTTTGTTTCCAAAATGTTTCCAGTTGAAGTGTTAAAACGTCATTCACTCCTTTAGATATACAATAATTGATTAGAAACACGCCTGCAGCTTTATGTTCATTCAGATAAAAAAAAGAAAACGTATAGGGACACACCGACTTAAAACAGACATGTTATACCGTGACCCTGGATAATCACCTTTCACAACGAGTCTTAGAACAATAGGCTATTTGAATACTGGGTTTAATTGTTATTATTATTTTTTTTTTTTTTTACAGAGGAGAGATTAAAGGTATACTACTGAAACTCTCTTCACATCATGATAATCAGTAATATAAGTGGTCTAAAAAAAATACAAATACTGTAGCATTGTTGAAGTCTCCAAGGCCAAAAAATGTTGGTCGTTCAGTCGATGTTCTTTTGCCTGTAAATATATATATATATATATATATATATATACTTCCATACTTCCGCGCACCTGCCAGGTGCAAGTAAAAGCTCTGTAAGTTGTTTACACATTATTATTTTAATGTTATGTGCTTTGAGACATGAGGTAGTTTAACAAAGTCTATGTTCATCTGTTTTGAAGTAGACGAGGTTTTGGAGACGCTCTAAAGGGAGGGTGGGATCATATGCTTTCAAGCTTGCTATTGCTAGCCTCTCTGAAATTGCCTAACCTACCTTTAAAATGTTTTATTTTTTGTAATAGGCTACTATTGTTATTTTTCCACATAGGGATTTTAAAACACCAAAGAGATGAAGTACAGCCAGTTTCAACAGAACATGAGTTAAAATAAACATGCAGCAGAAAAAAAGTGAGGATATCCAAGTGTTTGAAATATGACTAGTAAACTGTTGCATAACAGAACAGATGGAACAAAGATTAATGTTTAGTTTTCGTATTCAACGTGCTCTCACTTTAAGCCTTTGTTGAAGTTGACTTTTTGTTTGAGTTCTGCATAAAATGATTATGATAATAATAATGATAAAATTAACCCATTATTTGTATCTTCAAATTGTTAATGTGTTAATCTGACCTAAAAAACACTATATGATCAGACATGCACTTTTGTTATTTTGTTACAGACATGCACTAATTGTTATACAAAATAGAGATTTCAATTTTACTCCAGCAATTTTACAAAAGACAATTTGGTCTCCAAGATTAGGATTAGGATTTTTGAAACATGAAATTCTCCTAAAATCAGCAAAAGGCAAAAACCATATAGCATGCTTTAAAGCTGAAATGTGGCTTGAAGGGTTAAACTAAACACTAAACCTGTGATAATGAGTCCGTTTTTATCGTTTCTTTAACTGCACAACAGTTTTAGAGAGACATGAATTACAGTCGGAGAGTTGCTGTTCGGTGTGTTTCACAACTGCTCAGGATGTAAGACGCGTCTCGTAACTCAAACAAGGAGATATGAACCGAATTGCGATTCGCTACGTACAGTAAATTGGTCGTGAAGCTGTTTGGAAAGGGTTGATGATTAAATTCAGGGCAAAGTGCACGACATGGCAACATAAAGTCAGTGAGGACACACGTCGAGTAGGCTATCCTCGCCATTGCATAACTTTTACTTACGTAGCCTATCTGAAGTTGGGCACCAGGATTTGAGCGCTATGTGGTGCTTTTGCGATGTTTTCGGCCGTATGTGGCAATCGCCGTTTATTTTGTTTTATTTGTTGACGTTTTGGGTCGCACCTGCGTTCCTGCATCCACAGTGTTTGGATTTTAAACCCCCCTTTCAGCCTCAACAAGAGCTTCAGTTCTGTCAAATGTATAAATACTTCGGCTGCTGTGACTATGCCAGGGACCAAGAGCTGATGGCAAAATACTATCGAATAATGGATAACTTCGATTATTATGGATATTCGAACTGTGCCGTGTACGTTCAGGATATGCTTTGTCAGGTAAGTTTGACCGCACTATAATAAAACGATATTTTTTGTTTAGTTTGTGGCTTTATAAATGTACTTGAGCCATTGTTTGTTGGCCTCTCAACACGTACCGCAATTTGCTAGTGTCCAAAAATTGTAAACGATGATGATGTCAAGCTGTCTGTCAGAGTTGCCAATGATTTGTTGGTTGGGGCCAAATGACGTCACTTGAGGAATCTCTTTTTTGCCTATAGGCTATAAACCTTGCAAATAATAGAAAGCTCACTACACAGTCATGTTTATGAATACACAAAGAGCATGACTAAAACAAAACAACCTACATAAAACACCAAATAAAATTATATAAAAAACACATAGGCCTATGTAACAAACTAAAACAACAACACGTAAACAAGTATACGAGATACAATATAGCAAAGTAAACACCCAGGGTAACCAAATGAGTCGAACACTTCAAAAACATAGTATTTATTTGAAATAGAGATCATATAGGCTAATACAAATGTCACTTTTTTATCAGTTTAAGGCATCCCTGCTAAATTAAACTATTAATTTCTTCAAAACTCCCTGGCATGCTAGTAACCCACCAGAACACCATAGCAAGACCCTTGCAACCATTCATGCCAAATTAGTAACATATTGCTAAATATAGTTGCCTATTTTAAACTTTCATGTTCCGAAGTAAGTTACACGTCTAGGGGTCACATAAAAACTTCATGTTCATGGATTGATTTTCCCAGTGCAGTGTGGGCCACTGTAAACACCACTGAGGTTTAAGTGCTTGTGGTTTCACAGAGTGTTGAATATGGGAAAGCAGACATGACTATTCAAATGCATTGCTTGAAGCCGACACGATTCGGTTACATCCCCCACTATTCCTGTTTCTCTTCTCCAGGAATGCTCTCCATATGCTGCTCATCTTTTTGACGCCGAAGACCCCAGCACGCCTTTACGGACCATACCTGGACTCTGCCCCGACTATTGCTCTCAATTCCATTCCAAGTGCAGATCCTTTCTTACCTTGTTATCTGACGATCCACGTCTTCCAGAACTTGAGCATGACCAGCGCAGGCTTTGTCAGTACCTAGAGCTGGATGACCCAGATTACTGCTATCCTCATATTTTGAGCAATGAACGCTTAACCAAAAGTCTGGGCCGCACTGCATCGGACTCTGATGGCTGCTTGCAGCTGTGTTTGGAGGAGGTAGCCAATGGACTCAGAAATCCTCTCGCCATGATTCACGCCAATGATGGCACGCACAGGTTTTTCGTTGCTGAACAAGTTGGCCTGGTCTGGGTATACCTTCCAGATCGATCAAAGCTTGAAAAGCCATTTCTAAACATCACAAAAGCTGTGTTGACATCTCCATGGGAAGGTGATGAAAGAGGATTTTTGGGACTCACCTTTCACCCCCGTTTTAAATACAACGGGAAGCTGTATGTGTACTACTCTGTTGAGGTGGGCTTTGATGAGAGAATCCGTATCAGTGAGTTCCGTATCTCTTCTACGGATATGAACGTGGTTGACCACGGTTCAGAGAGGTGAGCAACTGATTTTCGTTTCGGTGCAAAAGAACCATTTTGGGTACCTATAAGAACCGTTATGAGAACAAATTTCTAAAAAAGCACTTTTTTTTTTACTTATTGTGAAAAATAATTTAATAATCTAAAGAAACTTTTTCCAATTTAAAGTACCTTTTGAGCAATGGAAAGGTTGTTAAAGGTTCTTCAATAAACCACCAATGCCAATGAAGAACCTTTATTTTTAGAGTGTATGCTTTCAAAAATTTCAATTAGAGCATCCAATACTCCACATATACAGTATCTTCATGTCCCCTCAGAATCATTTTAGAGATCGATGAACCTGCTTCTAATCACAACGGTGGGCAACTTCTCTTCGCCGATGATGGATACTTATACATCTTCACTGGAGATGGTGGAATGGCAGGAGATCCATTTGGGAAATTCGGAAATGCACAGAACAAGTAAGTTTAGATGATTAGTCAACTCAACTTCAGTTTGGTACAAAAAGGACAGATTGGTTGTGATAATTTACAATATCTTATCTGGTTGTTTCTGCTAGATCTGCACTTTTGGGAAAGGCTCTTCGCATTGACGTAGATGACAACGAGAGAGGGCCGTTGTATAGAATACCACCGGACAATCCATTCATACATGAACCCAACGCTCGTCCAGAAGTGTATGCCTATGGTGTGAGAAACATGTGGAGATGCTCTGTAGACAGAGGAGATCCGAACACCAAGGAAGGAAAAGGACGAATTTTCTGTGGAGACGTGGGCCAGAATAAGTATGAGGAAATAGACATTGTGGAGAAGGGCCGGAATTACGGCTGGAGAGCAAAAGAGGGCTTCTCTTGTTACGACAAAAAACTCTGTGCCAACAGCTCCTTAGGTGGGAATACATTTACTCTCATTGTCAGTCCTTTAATTTCTTAATGTTTGGATTTTGAATACGTTTTTATTGAATGAATGGATGATTTGTGTTTGTGTCTTTTTACGCTAAACTCTTTTACTTCTAGATGATGTTCTTCCGATTTACGCATATCCACACAAAATGGGTAAATCGGTCACAGGAGGATATGTTTACAGAGGCTGTGAAAATCCAAATTTAAATGGCATGTACATATTTGGAGACTTCATGAGTGGGTAAGTAATGATTTTTTAAAAAATGAAATAAAATAAATGAATGCTTTCATTCAGAAATGTATTAAAGTGATGGTGAAGTTGTTAATAAAATGTTACAAAATATTTCTATTTAAAATAAATGAAGTTTGAACTTTGTATTTATTAAAGTAAAAAATGTCATTTCCACAAAAATATTAAGAAGCACAGCTGTTTTCAGCATTGATAATGATAAGAAATGTTTCTCGAGCACCAAATAAGCATATTAGAATGATTTTTAAATGATTGTTTGACACTGATTGGAGTAATAATGCTGAAAAAGCTTAACCATCACTGTAATATTTTCCCAGAATATTTTCGAATACAAAAGAGTTAGTGTAATAAGAATTCTCAAATTTACTGCGTTTTCTGTTTTTGATCAAATAAATGTAACTTTTCTGAGTGTGGGACTTTTTTTCAAAGCATTAAAATTAAAATAATTTGAATGATAATATGCTGTTGTGATACAGACACTACTTGAGGTCATTAGAAATTTCACTTTTTCAAAATGACAAACATTGTTTTTAAATGTTAACTCTATGAATTTCCAGACGCCTGATGAGTTTAAAGGAAAACAGGAACACACACAGCTGGGAATACAGTGAGATTTGCATGGGTGTGGGGCTGACTTGTTCATTTCCAGGGCTTATCAACAATTACTATCCTTACATCATTTCGTTCGCTGAGGATGAAGCAGGTATGTACAAGAAAGGCGACATATTCCTGTAATACACTTTATATGCTGCATAAATTAGTTGCTCTACAGCTCCATAGTGGGGAAAAAAAAAAAAAACTATGTGTTTAATGTTAATTTGATCAATGTTTCAAGTGACGTGTTGTCTGTGACCAGGTGAACTCTATTTCATGTCCACCGAAATACCAAGTGCAACATCTCCTACAGGCGTTGTGTACAAGATTGTTGACCCTTCAAGGTATTCTTTTTCATCACTCGTCTCGTAATAATGTAGTCTCTGGTGTTCAAAGATCAGCTTGTGTTGCCTCTTAACAGACTTTACTCTCAAAATGCTGTGTTGGCAGCAATATGTACTACTGTAATCTCTCTCTCTCTTTCCCTCACACACACACACAAATCAGAGTTACAGTGAGACATTTACAATGACAGTGAATAGGGTCAATCTGTATGTGTTAAAATACTCACTGTTTTAAAAGTATGGCCACAAGATTATGTACAATTCTGTGTAAAGCTCTTTCCACTTTTACAACTTAATGTCTTAAAACAACCTTAAAAAATGATAAGAAAGACTTTGCAGCTCACATAATACATTACATAATAATTATAAAATTTTCAAAAAGCTTTTATAAAATGTAAAGCTTCACATTTCAGGTTATAAATAATCCAGAAATTGGACCCTATTTGCTTTCATGTGTCTTACTGTAACCTGGATTTTTGCTTCTGTTAAAGAAAACGAGAGACAATGTGAAATTAATTCTGTAATAATCAACATTAGGACACAAATAATGTTGATCTCAACTTGTATCAAACCCAGAATATTAATTAAAATGCTACCCCTGCTTTATTACAGACGTGCGCCTCCAGGAAAATGCAATTATGAGCCACTTTCTGTTCGTGTTAAGAGCAGTCTTATACCATTCAAGCCAAAGGAAAGTAAGTTTGCTTACTTCATAAGAGATCTAGTCAATCTGTACATCCAAAACTGTGTTTTTGCCATCAGACATGCTTTTTTTGAATTAAAATGTTCAAGAGTACCACAATTAGAATTGGATGAGAATCATCATCACCTTAGTTCCCTTGCAGAAAATACGCTCAGCGACCAACAAAGGTTTATGATTCTTACGTTTTGTTCATTATGACAATCGTCACTAAAAGCAATTGCAAGAAGTAAACATTAAAGTTAGGCTCTAATGAACTACTACACCATGTACGCACGCACAACTTCAGCCTTACTACCACTATCGAAAACTCTTCAATTTTTATTTCATATCTACAATTTGGAAAGTTTGATTTAGAGTAGTTTAGAAGATCTTGAGTACTGTATATAAACACAATGAGGCTGTGGAAGCAGACTAGTGAATAGAAGAGTTTTCCTGTTCGGTGTGATGTTTAATGTCCCCGAAAGCCCTATTTAGCCAATTTTACAAGATACGTAAAACAGGACAATAGAACCGGAGTGGAAATAAAAATGAAACCTTTTTCCAGGTTTTATGACTCTGCGGCATTCAATAACAACATGATAGAGTAACTTTTTTTATAAATCCCTCTTTTCACAGCATTGATAGGAGTCCATGTTCCAACAAAGCTTCCAAGACTCCCAATTAAAGAGGAACCTCCTGTCGATGGCTCAAAAGGCTGGTTTCAAGAGCTGTTGGACATCTTAAATGAGCAGGATGGGCAGATCACCACCACACCATTCACCCCAACTACACCCAAGCCCCATAGGACATCCAGACAGAGGAAGGGTAGACGCAAGAAGGGCAAACACAAGAACGGAATGGTGAGATTAGTTGGGGATGAAGAGGGCCGGATGGATCGGGGAAGGGTGGAAGTATACGCTAATGGGGAATGGGGGACTGTTTGTGATGATCTCTGGAACACCAAGAATGCCATTGTGGTCTGCCGGCAGCTTGGGTTCCACCATGCACTTAAGGCTGCCAAGCACGCTGAGTTTGGGGAAGGGACGAGCCTGAAGATTATTTTGGATGATGTGCAGTGTGAGGGGACTGAGGAAACTCTCTTGGATTGTCAGCATGCTGGGATTGGCCAACACAACTGTGCTCACTATGAAGATGCAGGAGTGATATGTGGAAATTCAGATTCAGGCATAGAATAATGTGAAACATTTCAGAATCAACCATTTTGTTATTAGTTGTAGCACATAACTGATCGTTTCCAACTGCAAGAGGGAAGACATTTGGACTATAATACAGTTTTTCTCTGTCACTTTAGGTCCAATTCTTGAATCATCCTTTAAGGGATAGTTAACTCCAAAAATGAAAATTCTGTCATTAATTACAGACCTCATGTCGTTTCAAAGCCCTACGATTTTGTTTATCTTCGGAACACAAATTAAGATCTTTTTGATGAATATATTTAAGGATAAATTAAATTTGTTCATCATATAAAGCGATTGTGTCTCTTCATAAAATTTGGCCTGAACGGCTCAATTCATTATTTACAATCTCTTTATTAACTTTTTGAAGCGTGAAAGTGGTAGTTGCGCAGCCGTCTATGGAGGTACAGAAAGCTGTCAGATTTCATAAAAAAAGATCTCCGTTTGTGTTCTGAAGATTAACAAAAGTCTTATGGCTTTGGAACGACAAAGGGTGAGTAATTAATGACAGAATTTTTATTATTGGTGAACTAACCCTTTAAGATTGCAAACCAGTAAGTGCATTTGTCAAAACAATTACAAACAGCACCACACAATGGATTTCCTCTGAAAGCCTGTAACTTGCTCAAAATCCTTAGTTCATCTCTCAAAAGTTTTATATCTATGAACATTACACTCTCATCAGAATGACAAATCTGTGTTATTGTTCACAAACAAGCTAGTCAAGATGTTTAGCCATGCATGTTGTCCATAATAGTGTACTCTGACTGTATGACTGTATGTTTCCTTATGTAATATATGGAAATGGTTTTGATACAAAACAGTGCACAAAGCTGAACCTTTTCTATATGGCATATATCAATTTCAACAGTAAAAATGCAGGTTTGTGTATTTTGGCAGAAATCCCATTTTTGACAAGATTTAGTTTAATTAGACAGGTGGTCTGTTAACAAATCATAGTGCAATGTCAAAAACAAGTATTATTACAGACAGTGCACATGTGGATTACATACTTTTACTGTCCACAAAACATTTGAATGTTCTCCCAACCATTTGCCTCCACCCTTCGCCTTGCCTTGGCATTGTAAGGCCTTGATTGAGAACATGTTTTACAGTGGCCCTCATTTAATCAGAAATGTGCTTATCCTCTGCCTCTTCTTCCTCTGTTTTGCCTTGCTAACCTTCCATCATGCATTCTTACATGGCAGTTGACCCTGTTCATTTCTTTGTTCTTTCATTCTCAGAAATTGTAACACTGTGTTGTGCTCGCTGCTCGGTCTTGCTTAGCCTACTAAATTGAAGGTTCATCAGATGCACCTCTGAGGTATTTTACAGAACTGGTTTCAGGCTTGTCTTCATTAGTGAAATCACCTGTGTAATTCATCAATTCAGGGCACATTTGTAAAATAAATAAATAATTAAAAAATAAATAAAACATTGTGCTTGCCATTATGACAACTTTGAACCATTTTGTGCTGATTTTTGCAATTAACTAATGCCTAGATGTTGACTATTTATTCAACAGAGAAGCAGTAGGCTATAAGCATATGATCAACATGACATAAACAATTAATAATATATGAAACAGCAGACAATTGTACAAAATCATGTGCATGAATGTACCAAAGCATTGGCAAGTTGTTCAAAAGAATGAGAAATTGATGTACTGTATAATGTGCACGTGAGATGTGGAGGTTGAATAGTTGAGAATTGTGATATGAGAAATGTCCTTTAGTGGCTGAAAACACGAACAAAATCAGTAGCACATCTAAAAATGTCTTTGGACACTCGTTTGTTGTAGCCTATATTTTAAAGTCTTACCTTGGAGTGGGCTACAAATAGTATCGTTGTGTAATATTTCAGAGTATGGTATTAGGCTACTATCCATCTGTATCACTTTACAAATTTAACGTAACACTTCAGCTATAGGCTATTGTGAATAGGAAACGCAACTGGCAAACTAGACGTTTTGTTGTACTTCTAGATGATCTGCTTTTCCTCCCCCTTTTTTAACAGATAGGCTAAGTTACAGATTATTTTTAAATATTTGCTCTAAACAGTAACAGTTTCCGTAAAATAGTTGTAGCAAGAGAATTATGTTTTGAGTAGCAAACTTGAATTGGTTTGCTAAACGTTTGTAGCAAAAATACAATATTCAAATATATGAATGTGTAAATAAATAATACAAGTAAAATATCTTCAAAGAATATATCGTAGGCCTACTGGTACTTTTATGTCTTACTATTTTCGTAAAAATAAGCCTTAACCATGTACAATAAGTATATTAGCCGTTAGCACAGTAGCTCACAACAACATGGCTCCATAGCTCAGTGGTTAGAGCACTGGTCTTGTAAACCAGGGGTCGCGAGTTCGATCCTCGCTGGGGCCTTCAATGGTTTATTTTCTTCTTCTAACTTTCACAATCACGTTAAGTTTTTTATTGTGAAGTGAAACTATTATAAGAATAACAAAATTAATCGACGCGGAATATTAGCAAAGGATAATTGTGTGTATTAAAGCAACAACCACAAGCTTGAGTAGGCCTAAAAGTTTTTTTTTTGTTTTGTTTTGTTTTACTTTTTATAGCCTATACATTTTCTAATAACATAGGCTAGCGTAAAATTAAATATTGATGTACTGCAAAATGGATTTTCTTTTTATGAGTTATATTTAAACATTATTTTCAGAAGTTGTTTAATCAAGTTAGTCTAAAAATAAATAAATAAAAAAAATTAAAACAAACATCAAAACTAAATAAGCTGTGTTATCCAAATGTGGGTACATGACATTGTTCTCATTTCAATGATGTCTTTGTGAGTTGAATTCCATGCTCTGCTTTGAACAAGGTCATTGATATGCTGAGCATTCAATCACGTAGGTAGTGCCAGCCATCTCTGCCAGCTTCCCTTCCAAAACTGGCTTCCCTTTGAAAAGCAATTTAGCTCTCTGCCTCCAGAAACACATCATTTACAAAGCAGGTCTTCATGTTAGCAGAAATGGAGAGATGAATGTCATTTTAGTTCTCTTGTTGCGAATGCGATCAGAATTCGGATTGTATTTTTTTATTATTATTAATTTGACTAAATTAGCAGTTTTCACACTTAAAAATACAAATCAAGCTTTTGTAAAAGCACAAAAAAATTATTTAATTTTAATTAAAAATAGCCTATATTATTTTCAAGTGTCTAAAGGCCCAGTCACCATATGATTATGGTTAGCCTATAACATCCCTCATGTAATAATGCACAAAAGGTGCTGTATGATGTGCTGTTTTGCCAACACTCAGTATTTTTATTAAAATCAGCGCTGGACCTTCTGTTTATTTCAAAAGAATTAAATGTGAGGAATCCTCACTGAGGATAGACTGACACCTATTGACATTGTAAGTAAATTGATTTGGGAAAGAAAATTGTGTAGGTAATGTAAACATGCTATGCCAATAGATGGCAGTGTCGCACTGCCATAATTATTCAGTGGATGATAAAAAAAAATGCCCTTCTTTTGTGAGTTTTCAACTAATATGCACAGTTCAACAATGCTCGATTTTAATAACAAGAGCGTTTTAAATAAATTCAAATAATTTAATTATTTTTTTTCTTTTTTAATAATTTCTGGTTATGTAGGCTATTGTATGCCTACGCATTACACTTTATTTATTTATTTTTTTAATATATAAATGATCTGTCCCTTCAGGGCACCTGTCATATATTTTATAACAGGAATCTGCCATTCATAGGTCATGGAATAATTATTAATAATTGTCTGCCACCCATGTGGTGCTTCTGATCCTCCCTTTGTCACGCACATTAAAAGTGTGCTTTTCAAAAAATCCTATTAAGTTTAAAATGTCTATTCAATTTCCTTATGACTCACATTGGATCAAAATGCATCTGAAGCAGAAAACTCCCTGACTGAAAACTGAGCCGCCTTCTGTGTGGAATACTTTTCCAGACGATGACACAATGATTAATACATGATGCAAAATTAGCAAATGTTAAAAGATTTGACTACTACCTCCATTATAAAGGATGTATCATGTGGCTGTAGGATGTAAGTGGTTTTAAGCCATTTCAAATCAGAACAACCATGCCACCACAACATGACCCCATTTCATATCTCACATTAGTCTTCCTGTTAATTATGGACAATTAATGGGACACTAGTGAGTGCTCTCCTCTAGCAAGCTTTAAGTGGAGCGCTGAACCTAAACAAATCCCATTTCCTGTCATGTTTCCCTCTTCTTTCTTCTCTTATCAAAAGGTTGGTCATCTCCGCCACACACACCCAGATCCTGCAGTTCTGGAGAGGCGCTGGAGCATTTCTCACAGCTCATCACATCATTGCATGTCTACAATATCCAGGCCACGTCAACTAAATGAGTATCATCCTTCTCTAACACAAACATACGTTATATATTAAGAAGAATTTTTTTTTTTAGCTCCAAATCATCACATTAGAATGATTTCTGAAGGATCATGTGACACTGAAGACTGTGTAATGATGCTAAAAAAAAATCAGCTTTGTCACAGGAATAAAATACATTTTTAAATATAATCAAAAGAAAACAGATATTTTAAATTGTAAATAATAGGGTTTTAGTGTGTTTTTGTTTTCAAAATAGCTGGTTAAGTATAGACATTATTTAAAAAAAATTTAACTATAAAACCTTTTTTGGGCCACTGATTCACTGTTCTGAAATGAGTTTTTCTTGCTTTAAACTAGATTTAGTGGTTTACCAAACATGAATCAGATCTGATGAAGGTCCACTGTTGTCATGCCTAACGTTTTTTTTTTTTTTTTTTTCCATTTAGAAGTGTGTGTATGGCTGCAGACCTTGTAGGACTGGGGTGACTGGCACAAACGGGTCAGTGAGCGGGACTAGGGGTCTGTGCCTGGCTCCAGACCGGCCGGCGATCCTACATACGGCTGTTTACTCACAGCTTGAGGCCTTCCTGAAGACCTGACCCCTCTAGAGACCCTGAGTTATGGAAGCTTGTTTCCGCCATGGAATAAAACATGAAAAAATGGTAATGGTGACTTTTTATCTTATAATTCTGACAATTCTGTTATAAAGTCAGATTTGTGAAATATAGAAACAGATAGGCCTATAAAGAAGAAGTCAGAACTGCGAAATATTATGGAAGCTTGTTCTGCCACAGGAAA